TGCATATCGTAGTCTTTCAACAACTACAAGTCTCTGACAAAGCGTATGCAGCAAGCTCGGGTAAGACACATCGGCAACAAGATGACATCGGCTCAAAACAAGGATCCAGCAACAGGATACAAAAACATCGGCTAGGGAGGACGACACTTGACTAAGCTGTGCCACACCTTGGCCGGGGTGTGCCACATCTCGGCCTAGGCCATACCTGCCCAAGGACAAGGTTCACTAAGTGCGAAGCATCTCGGCAATGAATGCCCGAGGTGAAGATGGGGTTGAACAAGATCTCAAAATAGTTCTAAGTACAAGGTTCAAAGGCGGACTAAGCTCAAGATGACCTCGGCTACGCACACACCGAACAAGGGACAAGATCACGCAAGTAATACTAACAAAACAAGGCAAACAAATCCTTCCAATTAACATAATAAAGCAAGACCATGCAAGAATGTATGCAAGTATGACAAGAGTAAGGTGAGGGTTGTTACATACGCATCCATAAAATCATACATAAAAAGTATCCATAAAATTATTCACAAAAATATCAAGTGTATGAATATCCATAAAGTATCCATAAAATCTGTCATTATTTGCATCTATCAATCAAATATGTTATCACAATTCGTCTTGGTAATTTGTACGTAATTTTTTCCCTTTTAATAGAAATAGACATTCACACTTTTTAGAACCTGTCAACCTCAATCGTTTTCCCTTGATCTTCATGTTGTCTTTATAGTAACCACTTCTTTTACAAGCAAGTGTAAGTCTTGGTTTTCTGTCATTGTCTCCCACATCTGATTTCTTTATAACAATGACAAATTCAGTATTCTTCCGAACGTCAGAAACTCATTTAATTAATGTTTCACGACTACTAAAAATTTAAAGATAATAAATACATTTATACGTCAAATTATTAAAAAAACTCAATACAAATTAAAAATAAGAAAAAATCGTATTCATAAAAAAAAACTTAACAAATCTCGTCTGTAATGAATTCATAATTAGAGTCCACCAATATTGCAGTACTTGCGTTGTTGCGATGAGTATAAGTATAATCCTTCTAGGGAAAAAAATAAAAAATAAAAAAATATGAAATTGAAAATACATGGTAATGAAAAGCCGAACAAATTAAAAAAATTTGGTTTGGGGTTACCGGAAATGTATCTTTTATTCGGTAGTTGGTTACCAGACTTATATTTTTTGTTCGGTAATATGGTGTTGGACTATTTTATTTTGTTCAATTTCGAAGCACCGAACGAAAGTCGAACACCAGTTTAGAAAATCGAAACAAAAACCTACCAAATAAATAAATAACTCATCATTTCATTTTTTTTTATGGTTCTTCACCACTGTTTCTTTATCTATTACTTTTTTTAATGATCTAAATACTTTGATTCTCACTTTTTGAAAAGAGATGTGTAAGAGAAAAGAAAAATTAAGAAAAGAAAAAAGAGGAGCAGGGATTGAAGACCAAGTGGTGTATGGAGATAACAAAATATATTTAATTTTAGTATTTTGTCCTTAAAGGTAATTTCACACATGGATAAAATTGGGAGGAGGGGAAAACTCATATGGAGGGTGTAAAGAGATAAAGTAATAGTCTAAGTAGTATCACCCCTTAACAATTTCTATACATTAAATGATTTAAATTATGGAGATAAACACAAAATAAGGACCGCTGGTCAATAGCACCCTACAATCTGATTAGGAATTAGAGAGAAGCCAGTCTTGTTTTTTAATTATTTTTTCCATTTACTTATGAAGTTAAAAGAGCGTCTCACTGTATGCCCCTCCGACAAAAATCATAAGCCAAAAAAAACGTGTTTTGTTTACCTTAATGACAGACGAATAAGGTTGAGAAAAGTAATAAACATAAAACAATAATTCATAGACACTATTGTAATTTATATATATATTTTTAATAGGACTGCTATGCATTACTAGGTAAAATTATTTTTTTAACTTTTATTTCTTACATAGACTTAAACAGCAAGCAAACAGTTTAATAGGACTGCTATGTATTACTAGGTAAAATTATTATTATAATTTCCATTTCTTACATTCGGTAGCATACGATTTTAATCAAAAGTCACAACAAAAAAATCAATCATTTTTTTTTTAAATTTTTTTTACACATCGTTTAATAAAAAGTTAAAAATTTATTTTAAAAATCAATTCCCAAAACAACTCTTAGACTTAAATGACAAACAAAGAAACAAACGCTATGTGTAAATATTGGAGTTATCACTTTAAAAAAAATAATACACATGGTTTATTATATAGACTCACGCAATATGTAAAAATAAAAATATTTAAGGGTCATTCCAATATTTCAAGATATTTACTGTATGTAAAAATAAAAATATTTAAGGGTGAAATGCATATATATATATATATATATATGTAAGAACAAAAGCATTGGGATAAATGTGGTCTGATCAAAAAATTATGGATTTGGGGTCACTGCTGTGGTAAATACACAGCAGTGACTGTTGTGGTTCATTTTGTGGTGCATTATGGGATTATTTTTATGATCTGAACCGTTCATTTTGTAAGGTTTGTTGAGGACTTCAAGCCTACCAAAAATCATATTAATCGGATACCAATAACTATATGATTTATAACCAAAAAAATAAACAAAAGTTTTTCTTTTAAAAAATAGTATAAAAATATGCAATACGATCATATAGTTGTTGATATCCGATTAATATGATTTTTGGTAGGCTTAAAGTACTTAACAAATCCTACAAAATGAACGGTTCAGATCATAAAAATAAGCCCATAATGCATCACAAAATAAACCACAACAGTCACTGCTGTGTATTTATCACAGCAGTGACCCATAATCCAAAAATTATTAGTGTCTAATTAATGTGATTTTTTTTCAAAAATGATATTTTTACAATTCTTATATATTGAACGATTTAAATTATCGTGATGAACCCAAAATAAGGACCAGTGGTCAATAGCACCCTGCAATCTAATTAGGTATTAGAGAGAAGCCTCTCTCTTTTTTTTTTTAATTATTTTTTCCATTTCCTTATGACGTTAAAAGAGCATTTCACTGTATCCGCCTCCGACAAAAATCATAAGCCAAAAAAAACGTGTTTTGTTTATCTTAATGACAGACGAACAAAGTTGAGAAAAGTAATAAACATAAAACAATAATTCATAGACACTATTGTTATTTATAAAAAAAAATTTAATAGGACTGCTATGCATTACTAGGTAAAATTATTTTTTTTATTTTTATTTCTTACGTAGACTTAAACAGGAAGCAAACACTTTAATAGGACCGCTATGGGTCTTTTGGGAATACACCAAGAAAGTCAGTTTTTTTGGGTTTTTAACTTTTTTTTTTTGTCAAAAAAGTCAGATTTTTTTTATCAAAAACAACCCAATTTTTTGTCAAAAAAGTCACAAAAAAAATCAAAAAATTAATTTTTTACTAACTTTTTAAAACACCACTATGTATTACTAGGTAAAATTATTGTTATGATTTCCATTTCTTATACGATTTTAATCAAAAGCCACTACAAAAAAATCAATTATTTTTTTTTTATTTTTTTTACACATCATTTAATAAAAAGTTAAAAATTTATTTATTTATTTTTGTTACAGGAAAATCCTCCCACTCTCCCGCAGGTCCAAGGCAGCGCCCCTTGAGAAGATCACCAGGGTGTCCTGTTGTCCGTTCCGAGTAAGAGACTATAACCTGGAAGCTTGTCCCGACCTCCCAAGACAAGCTCCGCTTAAGTCAGGACTCGCACAGCGAGGGAGAATTAAACCCACACCAAGTAGCTGATAAGGCATCCTTGAGGTCAACCTCCTAACCAACTATGCTACGCCCAGAAAATTGACCCAGAAAAGAGTTGAACCCAAGACCTAAGGGCTTAAAAATTTATTTTAAAAACCAATTCCCAAAACAACTCATAGACTTAAATAACAAACAAACAAACGCTGTGTAAATATTGTCGTTATCACTTTAAAAAAAATAATACACATGAAGACTCACGCAATATGTAAAAATAAAAATATTTAAGGGTCATTCCAATATTTCAAGATATTTACTGTGCTGGTAAAGTTTATCGTTTCAAACCAATTAAGAAGGTTTTGAGAAAGTCTAGAAACAACTTTCCTCATAAATCATTCCAAAAGCTTAGAAACAAAGTCGGGGGCTGGTGGGGGGTTGGGGGGGATTTATTGACTAAAAACTCTTTTACCCACCAACGGAGTGATTATTATATATCTACCATCATTTTGTATATAAGTATCTAGAAAATAATATCCAAATTTTTTAATATTAATACAAAATTATGTGAAAATGACATTTTTATAATTCTAAATCATAATTATTGGCGTTTAGCTTTAATTATTATTATTATTTTTTTTCTATACGATAGGAGGTTAAGAGATTAGTAAATTAAATTATAATGAAATTGTCCTAATTGCTCCATTGACTCAAACATTGCATTTCTAACCTTTTCACTGTTTCAAACAATAACTATATGGACCACTGAGTCAACTGTCATTTTCTATCTCCAATTAAACTTAGTGATTATTAACTTTTTAACTATGAATTATTGAACTATTATAGTCTAATTTAATATAATTTTTTTAATTACATATTATGTATATATATATATATATATATGTAAGAAATATATATATATATATGTAAGAAAGCATGAGAGAGAGAGAGAGAGAGAGAAGTTAGTCAATAGAATACTGCAGTTCTTTGGTGTGCCCTCCAAACCATTTGCCCACTGCCATTCCATACGGCCACCAGCCCATCTCTGTGTCCTTGTTTTGTACCCCTTAAATATTTAGCTGATCAAACCCTTTCCACTTCCATATCATAACAATACCAACTTGATGATTTTAAGGCTTTTAGTGTAAACGTTGAGATATATACATACTTACATATATATATACGAAATGAGGGTTAAGAAGAAGATTACATGGCGATCCATCTTCATCCCAAGTTGTTTCAAAAGTGAAAACCCATTAGATTCAACTCCTCTTCCTAAGAAGCCGAAGACTATCAAGAAGAAAGCTGTTTCGGAGAAAAGTTCATTACTTGAGAGGCTTTATTATCAATCAGATTTGAGTACTAGTTCAACAACGCTTTCAGAGGACCTCTCAAACTCACTACCCGGTTCAAACCTTCATGTGTTTACGTTGGCAGAGCTGAGAGTGATCACTCACAACTTCTCTTCCTATAACTTGCTTGGCAAAGGCGGGTTCGGACCCGTTTTCAAGGGCTTCATTGATCACAAACTTCGGCCTTCTGCTTTGAAGCCTCAGCCTGTGGCAATTAAGCTCTTGGATTTGGATGGTCTCCAAGGTCACAGGGAATGGCTCGTAAGTTTTCTTCACTAAAATGCCTTCTTTTTTTCTTTTTTTTTTTTTTGACCTTCCTTTGGTGTATCACTAACAAAACCAGTTTTTCAAATCCATTTTTAAGTAGACTTTCAAAAATTTAATCTTCTTTCTTTTTTTTTTTTTTTAATTTTTAAAGATTTTTAAAAAATAAATTACCTAAATTGTTGATTCTTCAATTAAATTAGCGTGTTTGCATCTTTAGTGCACGTTTTGTCCATTTTGATTATTTTTTAAATTATTAGTGATTTTCACTAAAACTTGTCAAGAAATAAAAAATAAAAAATATTGCATGAAAAGTCTGCTGAAGGCCCCCCAAAAAATTGATTAAAAAACTACTTCTAATAAGCTCTCAGTTCCTCTAGTGTTTTTAAATTTTGGGTCCCCACACCGTAAATTTGATTCTTTCAAGTTGGTGGTTGCCAAATGAAAATTAAGGGATTATTTGGGATGATCTAAATAAGTGAATTTTTTATTTTTATACGAAAAGATGTGCAGAAAAGTAGAGAGATGATGTGATAAAAAAAAGATAAAAAGATAAAAAGTGTGTACTTATTTAGGATAGCCAAACTTAGCCTAAGTGTTTTGGGAAGATGGTTAAAAATTACTTTTTAACTTTTTTTTGATTTTTTTATGAGAGATGGACATGGATTAGAAGTCGGGAAATAGCTTTTAACCCTCTTTCCAAAATAGGCAGATTTTATGAACTGATTAGTTTATGTTGTCATCTATTTTGTTAACAGACAGAAGTGATATTTCTTGGGCAACTAAGGCATCCACATCTTGTGAAGCTAATTGGATACTGTTGTGAAGATGAACACAGACTACTAGTATACGAATATATGCCTAGAGGCTCCTTGGAAAATCAACTATTTAGAAGTATGCTCCTCTATTTCATCCTCTAGTAATTAATTTTCTCTTTCAATATTTTGTTCTTCAAAGTTTTTAGAATTTTTAAATTTTATAAATTCTTATTTTGCCCACACTTTTTTCTTTTATTTTCCAGGGGATAATTTTAATTAGGCCTAACTAAATTGATCTCAAACCCGGCCTAACTCAAGGCAAGCAAAGCCGTCGCCTTGGACTCTCAAAATTTAACCAAATTTCAGGGTCCTAAAATATTTTTAATCCATGTAATATTAGTAGCTCTAAATTAAGGCCCAGCCCAAGTTCCTTAACTTCACAACACAGTCCAGACGAAAGGCCTCCAAGAAATGCAGGGCTCCAAATTATATTACAAAAATATATTGGGTAAAGTATGTAAATAACAAAACTCTGTCACTTAAACCCACTACATTCTAAGCGTTGGAGGCAAACCGCGGTGTGGTGGTTTCTACGACATTGAATCACCGACTATGAGTGCTAGCTCTCTTTCTTTTCTTCTATTATTGATTGCATTGCCTTTTCTTTTTTTTTTGATTTGAGGACTTGCTTAATTTTGATTTGTGTTCTAAATCTAATTTCAGAGCCCTATTTTTTTTTTAATTTAATTCAAACTTTGCCATGATTTTGTTTTGCTTGAATCTGCTATTTTCTTCAATTGTTCACCAATTTGTGGGTGTTCTTTGGATTGTAGTTGTGGATTGAATTTCTATTGAGCTTTAAATAATCTATGTCGGTTGAATTTCTCTTTTAGATTTATTTTACAATTATGATTCCTAGGAAGTATAGCTCTATATTCGGAAGCAACAGATAGAAAAATTGATTCAATTTAAGTAATTTAAGTACTTGCTTATTCACCCAAAAAAATTTAAGTACTTGCTTACTTTTTTCGGACTTGCTTACTTAATTCGGACTTGCTTACTCTTTTTTTTTTTATCCACCCAAAAATTTAAGTACTTTTCATTTCGCCCCACAATTGTTTATTTATTTATTTATTTTTGTTATATATAAAAAGCTCCCATTTTAATGTTGGCTTGAGCCCCAAAAAACTCAGGGTGAGCCCTGATTAATCCATTTTCATACTTGGCTAAAAAAAATATAGTCCTACAAGCAACATAAGTGTCCTTGGTATTTCCTTAATAAGCTAAAATCATTAATGTGAATGCAAAGATGTGTTTCTATTATAGCAAACACATTTGTTTTGGAAAAAGATCTGGACCGCCACTGGGGGGTCACCCCCACGACCCCCACTGGCCTGTGATTGACCAATTTTTTTTTTTTTCTTCTCCTCTTCCAATCACCAACCCCACGTGTGTGTAGGGGGTGGTGGGGAGAGGGGGTCTCAATAACTTCTGTAAAAATTTAAATCAGGCCTTTTTGTTTCTTAAAGCAAATTAGGGAGACTTGGTCTACTTTCCACACTCACAAAATTAGGACGGTAAGAAAAACTAATGAAATCCAACAAAGAGCTTGTCTTCTTCAATATTGGAAAAATTTTAAACAGATGCCAATTGAATTAATCAAAATATTGTAAATACCTTTTATATTTTGATTCATTAAAATAAGTAACTAATATTAATTGTTTTGCGATAAAGGTTGGGTAGAGAGGTTTTTTTTTCAAAATATCCCACCCTTTCTCTTCATTTAAGTCCACTGTGATATTCTACGAGTTTCTTTCTATAAAACCTCTTATGAATCCCTCATTTACTCTAAATCAAAAATTAGATAAAATTAAACTGTAATATGTGATCGATTTTAGTTTCTCAACCAACAGAATCCAATAATTCAGTTTGATACTCAATTTAATCGCAATGCCAACCGAATCAAATTGCTTACTCAAATAACGGGATTAATTAAAAAGAAAACTTATCCAAAAATAGTCTTAAAAATAAAAATCTAAACATTTCCTTTTATCAAATAATTTTTCATGAAGCAACGATTGATATATTCATGATTGTCTTCTCTTCTGATCTATAGGGTATTCAGTATCACTTCCATGGTCAACAAGAATGAAAATTGCTCTTGGAGCTGCTAAGGGCCTCGGCTTCCTCCATGAGGCCAAAAAGCCTGTCATATATCGGGATTTTAAAGCTTCAAATATCTTGCTAGACTCTGTAAGCTTCTTTAATTTCCCTATTTGTTAGGCTTTAATAACATATGGTATACTGTGCTATGCTTTTGCAACTATTGAGAGTTTATATCATGTTCATACTAGGATTATACTGCAAAACTCTCGGATTTTGGGCTTGCAAAAGATGGTCCAGAGGGAGATGAAACACACGTTTCAACGCGAGTCATGGGAACTCGAGGTTATGCTGCTCCTGAGTACATCATGACTGGTAAATTTTTCTTTTCTATATTTTTAAGTTTAAGATACATTTTATTAACATATGCAATTATATATACAGAGAAATTTTTAAAAAATTTAGGACTTAAGTAATACATTTTGTTTCAGGTCACTTGACCACCGCAAGTGATGTGTATAGCTTTGGAATAGTGCTCTTGGAGCTTCTAACGGGGAGAAGGGCAGCGGACAAGAGCCAGCCTCGCCGGGAACAAAACCTAGCAGGCTGGGCAAGGCCTCGACTAAAGGATCTGAGGAGGCTCAAGCGGATAATGGACCCGAGACTTGAAGGCCAGTACTCTGAAATAGGAGCTCAAAAGGCAGCTGCATTGGCTTATCAATGCTTGAGCCACAAGCCAAAGCATAGGCCAACAATGAGCATTGTGGTCAAAACTTTGGAGGCTCTCAAGGACTTGGATGATATTCTAAGTAGGCCATTTGTATACATAGTTCCTAATACTGATCAAAGTGATTGCATGCATAGAAAACATGTTAAGGTTAGTGAGGAACAAAAGGAGATGAAGAAAGAGAATGGTTGCCACCATCATAGAAAGCACCAGATGAAATCACAAAAACCCTGAAACATTCATTCAGAAACTGCTCTACACCAAAATCTCCCATTCGCATGCACTCTAGAATCAAGAGGGCATATATATATAGACTAGGATAATCATAAATCACACAGCAACACAATAGAGATAAGTGTAAGGATTCTTGTGAGGACTTAATGATTTTTTTGATTTGTTCATTCAAAAAAAATATGTTCTTCAGTTTGCCTTCTACTGGAATGGAGCAGTATATATAGGCAAACTACAACTGCACATTATTTGTACACTGGTGGAAATTTTTGATCCACGCAAATGCGTGGATTATATAAATAAAAATTTAGATTTCAAGCAATAGTTATTAACTTTTATTATTTTGTGGACTAACTTTCAATTAGTTATGGGATTATGATGTGAATTTTAAAAAAATGAATATTCTTGACATACAAAAAAGTAAAGGTTTCGAGACAATAACTTGAACCTTTTATTTTATTAGTATAAATAGATAGTATAGATATTGAGGCCCCATAGTTGGCCTTTGCATGACATTTATTTTATTATATTTTAAGGATCATCAAATCCCATTTGGATTGTGGTTATTTTAGGGAATTAGAATGTGAGTCCATAAGGAGATGGTTTAATTTTGGAATTGTGATTTAAGTGTGAAGTTGTGAGTTTAGATTTGAAAAGATAAAATTTATTTGGTTATGAATTTTGAAAATAGTTTTTGAATTTTGAATTTTGAATTTTGAAAGGAATTTTGTGTTTTGAAAAGAGTTTTGAATTGTATTTTGAGTTTTTTTTAGATTTTTTTTAAAATATTAAAAATGTTTAATAAAATTTTATTATTTTATTTTAAATATATAATATTTATTTAAATTATTTTATTTTACATATTTTATTTTATTTTGTAAATATTTTAATTTTTTAAATTTTAATATTTTAAACTCAAAACACAACTCTATATTCAAATCGTAACCAAATGCATAACTCAAAACTCAATTCAAAAACAAATTTCAAAACTCATAACCAAACTTTAAAATATTTTTTTAAAAAAATACAGCACACAAATGTATGAAGTATAGTGCACATTAAAATAAATAACTAAATATTTAAAATATAAAATATTTTTCCTAAAAAAATAAAATTAATTAAAATTTTAAATATTTTAAAGAAAAATATATCCAAAAAAAAATTAAAATACCACTTAAACTCATAACTAAACAAATTTTCTTTTTTGAAAACTCAATGCAAAACTCATAACTTAAAATATAACTCCACACCTAAATCACAATTCTAAAAATAATTTTAAAAAATAAAATTGAATTTTTTTTTGGGTACAACACTGACACCCCCTGAAATTTAGATTTAATATATATCACCATTTGATTTTTAAAAAATTACATTACTGCCCCTGTGGTTAATAGTTTCATTTCATAAATCTCTTAGTTATATAAAAGGCAATAACTCCTAATAGAAAAACAGAGGAAATTACATATAAAAAAAAAATAAAGCAAAGGAAAAAAAAAAGAAAGAAAGAAAGGAAAGCAAAGTAAGAAAAGAGAGAGCGTATGAATTCAACGTCTTTTTTATACCAATGTTAATACTGTCTAAATAATTACAATGGTAGAGGGGTTATTTTAATTTTTCAAACATCAAGAGATAATATGTATTAAACTCAAACCTCAATGAGGTGTAAGTGTAATTTATCCTTTTTTCTCTAAATAGGGTTTTGAAAATAATTTGATTTTGAGTTTTAAATTATGTGTTTGATTATGAGTTTTGGAAAAAAAAAAAATTTTGAATTGAATTTTGAAAAAATTTGTTTAGCTATAATTTTTTTTTAAATTTAATTTTTAATTAAATCACAATTTAAAAACACAACCAAACCCTACCGAAATTTGCTTGTACTCCATAGCTGTATGACTTCCTAGTCTACACTTTGCTTGTACTTCCATAATTTACTTCGTTTAAAGGACTAAAAGAGAATTGCACAATTACTCGCTTCAAATCGACAATCATTTTAAATTGCAATTTGATGATTAAAATCAACGTGACAGAGGCTGCCGCACGAAGATTTTTGGAAAATATTAACCAATCATATTTGATGGGCTTAACTACTTCTGCATACTTTTTCATGCAAAATAAATCATGGACCAACTTACCTCATATTTGAGATTAAGATTAGGTTATTCAGTCCAGTTCATGGATTCATTTTTGAGTTCCGTTTCAATAATTCGAACCGTTCAATATGTAGAACTCGTCGAGTAATATATTTTTACAAAAATTCAAGTTGATCGGATATCGATAACTATTTGATCGGATCAGATTTATGTCAACCGTTTATTTTTTACCTTTCATTTTTTTATACAAATCTAATCCAATCAAATAACTATCGGTATTTGATCTACGTGATTTTTTATAGTGATATAGTACTCGATTAGTTCTACACATTCATCGGTTCAGATTATCGAAACGGAGGCGAAAAATAGGCTCATGGGCCAGACTCACCCAATCCTAAAACACTTATTTTGCCCTCATTCATCCAATTTTTTTTCTTTTTTTTTTCTTTTGATCTATAGAAAAATCTATTAAGAAAAGTCAGAGGAGAATGATCTATCCAATCCAAAACTTACACCAAATAGTACAAGTCTGTTTATTTATTATGTTCTAGAAGTTTTTTTTTGGGTCCAGATTCAAGTTTTTTTTTTTTTTTTTTCATATTTGTTATAAGTTTCAAATTAAATAATTGATGATAATTAGGTGTTTGGCATACACTAAAAAATATATATATTTTTTGTTTATATACACTTATTTGGGTTATATCAATCAACATTTATTAACATCTTCTTCCTACTTTTTTATCTTTTTTTTTTACTTTTCTACACATTTTTTATAAAAAATCAATATACTTATTTAAAACACCTCAAACCACCTCTAAATATTATTGTATACACTCTTATACTCTATTTGGTTTAATAGAATAAAGTAGTAAATATTATTATGAATTGATAGATAAATGTTATGTATTAGAGTTGTTTGGTTACTGCACAATTTATTATTTTTTTTATAATTATGCAAGGATTTTTTTAATTAGTTATGCTGAGGAGGACCTAAATATGAGATTTCGCATATAGTGTTAAGGGATGGGTAATAGTTTATTCAATCTGTAAAAATTGCTTAACCTGTATACAAATAGACGGTTTCACAAATACAATATGGACGGATGCGGTTTGAAATATGACATGTTTGTGAGTTGCAGGTGGGTTACGGGTTTAACCCGCACCCGCAAGAACACGCTTGTACTCTTTATTTATTTATTTATTTATCTTAACCGTTGATTTCTTTCCTATATCCCACTTAGATATTTTTTATAGCGATCCCGGGTTTACCCTTGTTGTACAGTGATCCGGACATGTGTCCGTGGATGTTGGTATTTGTTTATTATCTTGTTTGCATCCTCTTTACTGGTATATTGAGTTATAGGATGTGTTAGGCAGGTTTGTTACAGATTGGTTGTGTTTGGGAGCCTAGTGTTGTTGCCCAGATTTTTGGTCCTTCGCTCGAGCGAGGAGTTTGTCGCTCGAGCGAGAGTTGTGTTGCGTCTGGTTCTGGACCTAAGAGTTGCCTTTCTTGGCTCGAGCGAGCTTCCTTCGCTCTAGCGGTCTGGATTTTTCTTCGCTCGATCGAGAACTTCTTGGCTCGAGCGAGTGTTTTTCTGTGTCTGGTCGCTCGAGCGACCAAGTCTTCGCTCGAGCGAGCGTGTTTTATATCAGCGGACAGCAGCGTCTATTGTAAACATACACAAGTCCTT